AAAAAAAAAAAAAAAAAAGAAAACTTAACCTCAGATGCAAGTGTTGACAGGTAGGGCCCAGTGCAGTGGTTCTCAACCTTCCTAATGTGGCGACCCTTTAATACAGTTCATGTTGTGGTGACCTTCAATCATAAAATTATTTTCGTTGCTACTTCTTAATTTTGCTACTGTTTTTAATCATAATGTAAATATCTGATATGTAGGATGTATTTAGGTGACCCCTAAAGGGGGGTCATTCGACCCCCAAAGGGGTTGCGACTCACAGGTTAGAACCGCTGGCCTAATGGGAGGTGTCTAGGTCATGTCAGTTCCACCCTCCCTAGTGGATTAATGCTGATTATGAAAAGACTTAAGGTTACAAATTCACTCTTTCTCTCTTGCCCTTTGTCACAGGATGAAACACCAAGAAGGCCCTTGTGTAATGCCAGGCCCTCAGTCATGAGACTTCTCAGCCTCCCAAACTGAGATAATACATTTCTGATCATTATAAATTATATAAAAATGTAGTGACAAAGAACCCATCAGTGATTGCCTGGGAATTGACTGGAGAGTTTACAAAAGGGTTGGAAAAAACTTGGGATGAGACTTACACTCATTGCCTTAATTGTGGTGATAATGTCATGTATGTCAAAACTCATCAAATTACACTTTATGTAGTCGATTTTATATCAAGTTTTACTTTCATAAAGCAGCTTATAAAAATAAGTGGTCTGTTAATCTTATTGAAGGTTTACTCCTTTAGAAAACATATGCCCACATTTGAAAATACCTAATTTGTTGAGGTTTAAACAGTCAATCCTCTATCTTAGGTTTCTGAGATATCAGGCAAAAAGCCTTAAGCTTCATTGAAACCCTAGTGATAGGATACTGTGAGGCCTACCCTTAAATCTTTAAAGTGCCTGTTACCTTATGAGTTTTCCATATTTACAAATAAAACTAAATCATTTAACTTTGGAATTGAGGAATGAATAAAAATGACTTTGTCTTGGGCTCTTGTTACTGGCAGATGCTTGACTGCAGTCAAGATAGGACAAGCGAGGAGCCTGCGAGTATCAGAAGCTCCCACAGAAGAGTCCACACATAGATCCATTCAATGCCTTCACCCAGTTAAGGGTGCAACTTCCTAATTAAGTTGTTTCTACGATTAAGATGTTTTATAAAAACAAAAGGCATACATTATTTATTAAGCTCACAATTTTATTGATAACAAACAAAATATATGTATATACAAAAGACAAAAATACAAAAATATTTATATGTATACAAAAATATTAAAACATAGATATCAGAAATAAAGAAAGCAAGCACATTCTACAAAGGATACTTTCTTGGGAGACATATACATTGAAAAAGGTTAAGAAAGGAGATAAGACATTTAAATTAATAGACTCTAGAAATTGATATTTCAGCTAGTATTAATTTGATAACATTAATAAAATGTCTTAATTGCCAATAGATGGTACACCTTATTTATATTTAAGATTGTCAAAGGTAAAATTACACAGCCTTCTTTTACCATAAAATTGAATTATTTTACTTCTGTTTCACAAATACCAGATTACTTTTCCTTTTATCTTAAAATATTTAAATTTTCTGATTCGCACTGAGAATTTTAAACTTTTTCACATTAGATTGTAAAGTATTTTAAAAGGCGGTGTATCCTCTTTATCCATTGAGAAAAAATTTCAATGTAAAATTGAAAATCACAATATATTTTTATTATTTTAAGTTAAAACCTAATTTTTCTAACTTATATTCATGATCACTAACAATTGATTTAGTAAGAGGTCACAATCTTCGTAAATTCTTTTTGCTTTTTTTAGTACCAGGCAAGGGACCCGTTTTACAACTGGCTTTTAGGTGCTTGCCATTCGAACAGTCTTTGGTGGCATGATAGTCACACAGACACCGTGTACAATAATCAAATCCACAGCCTTCCCGTTTGCATGTTGCTCGCTCTAAGTAGCCATCGTATTTTGCAGGTGAATTACAACGAATGCAGGCTTTGAGGCTTTCGTTCTTTTTCAAGGTCTTGGCAACCTGAAACGAAAAAAACACATAAAATGAATTTTAGTAAGGACTGAATGTAATTAATTAGTAAAACTAGTTAAGTGTCTGTACTTTCCCCAATACATGCATGAAGCACGACTGTCACATGTTAAGTTATCTGCTGCCGGGCGGTGCCTGTAGCTCAAAGGAGTAGGGCACTGGCCCCATATACCAGAGGTGGTGGGTTCAAACCCAGCCCCAGCCAAAAACTGCACAAAGTGCAAAAAAAAAAAAAAAAAGAAAAGATACCTGCTGCCTTGAAGGAGTTCACTGCACAATGAGTGACAGACAGCACCACCTGTCAACTGGTCCATGGCTATTTCCTATTGCTACTTTTACATACACTCTCTTTACTGTGACTGCTACTCACATACACACCAATGCCCAACTTAAATGTCACTTTTCCTATACAGTCTTCTTAGTGCCATTAAGGAATTGCTTTTTCATCTCTAGTTCTACCTTTTATTGAAGCATCTTATCCCATTATGTGACATTATTTTTATGTAGCTGTCTTCTATTTATATTGTAGAACTATAACATTTCCTATCGATGCAGTACCTGGTAGCAGATGCTCAATAAACATTTTGAAAACGTTTACATGTCATGTTTGTCACTACATATAAACATTTAAGATAGAAAAGAAACTTTACCATATAGAGTTTCTATTTATTTACCAACATAAGACAGTGATCATTAAAAAAAACTTACCAGTTAGATATAATTATGGTTTTCTAAATTAAGCTTATAAAATTATCTACATGTGAGTAGAACTTTGAAGGTATAGTAGGACTTTAATTTTAGAAAATTATTATTTTTTGAGATAGAGTCTCACTATGTTGCCCTCTGTAGAGTGATGTAGCATCACAGCTCACAGCAACCTCAAACTTTTGGGCTCAAGCAATTTTCTTGCCTCAGTCTCCCAAGTAGCTAGGACTACAGGTGCCCACCACAATGCCTGGCTATTTTTTGATGCTGTTGTCATTATTGTTTTAGCTGTCCTGGGCTGGGTTCGAACCTGTCAGCCTTAGTGTATGTGGCTGGCGCCATAACCACTCTGCTATGGGCACCAAGCCGATTTCAGAAAGTTATTAAAGGCAGCAAGTGCAAAACATAGTATTGAGTAGCTTTGTAAGAAATGTTTAAATCAAGAAGGTTTTTCATTATTTCCTTAGTGTTTGTAAATTAGAACTCAACATCACTGAACTTCCATGAATAATGTCAAGCAGAATCTACTATTTGTAGAAAGACATCTCTGTGTACTTTCCTAATTTGAAATAGCATTTGGTTTCCCACATTTTGGAGAACAAAATGAAGGGATAAAAGAAAACAATTCCCACTAATACTCCCCTAATACAGAAGATATATGGTTGACCTCAAGTTGACCGAGTTCTCATAGATTAAACAAGCACCACATGTAGGTACGCATAGTAGACAAGTTCTTTACTTATGTTGATCACCTCCATATGTGGACCAGTTTGTTACAGTCCGTTAGGCAGTCAACTTAAAGAGGTTCTACTGTAATTCGAATTAAACTAAAATTTAAATTACCCAAATCAGTATCAGGTATCCTAATTTGTTAGGAATTATCTAGAGCAGTGGTTCTCAGCCTGTGGGTCACAACCCATAAAATCTGTATTAAAGAGTCATGGCATTAGGAAGGTTGAGAACCATTGATCTAGAGCCATTTATATTTTGACCTTGAAAGGTTCCCCCCACCCCCGCATTTTTCACTTTAAAACCGTTTAAAAATAAATGACTCATGTTTCTAATTTATTGATTAAACAGAAAATTACCTTAGAGAATTCACTGTGTCGACTGTAAGTAGAACCCTTCTGATCACCTTGACTGGATAACTTGGTCTGAGCATCTTTTGGGAGAGAAGTCTGAGCTGTTGCTTCTTGAACAGAAGCCAGTGGGATTCTGAGCATAACATAATCTCTGGTTGAAGTATGTGCTGATAAATTTATGTTGCCTTCCTAATTAGAAAAAAAGTTTTAATAAAACTTAAAAACTACTTTCTTTCCTATATTCTCAACAATCATTTTTAATGTTTGTACATGTAAGTGGAGAATAAGAACATAAAAGATTTATTCCTATGCACAATTTACCCACACATGCTTTAACAGTTACACCTACTATTCACACATATAAAGCCTAACTTATTGAAAGAAATTGTGTCAAATCACTTTACATGTGAGTAAGTAACATAAAGCACTTAGGGCAATAATACATGATTAAAGCTAATCAATGCCAAAGTACTATAGCCAGAACAAAAGGTTATTCTTTCCACCACCAGAAGATGGCAATAGTCACATTTGAATGTTTGATTTAAAACCAGCCTATTGGATAATAAAACTGAACTTGGAGAATCTAATCAATTCACAAAAGTTACACACCAACAAACAGCAACACCAAAAACACTAACATTTGCAGGCAAGTCTGTCCAACTCTGAGGCCTGAACTTTTATTCATGTATTGATCTTGATTCTCAGAAATACTTCCAAAGTAAACTGGTTATTTTAGAAAAGTAAATGCATTTTCCTCCTACATTAAGAATCTTCACTAAGTTGACATGTAATTTTTTTTTGGTAACCAGAAAAAAAATCCATTGCTCCTATTTATTAATAACCAAAATTTACAAGTAAAACAGCCTTTCCAAATTTCTAATGGTAACAGAACACAGTACACAAATGGCAGCCAACACTGGCTACGCGGTGAACTCTCCTTATCTAAGAACTAAGTAATTTCCCTTTTGTTTCTTTAGATATTCTATTCTGGGGACAACCTATGAAATAAATTACTGAGGTGAGATTCCTTCCTCTATATTTTTGAGTTTGTTTTCTCAGTAATTTCTAGTGTAAGGCTAAAGTGCTTTACATTCTGTAAAGGAGGGTTTCCAGACTTTTTCATTCCTATTTCTATCTCCTATTTCTGAAAGAGCAACAGCAGTGTATTTTAAAATGAAAACATCAACAGTAAAGACTTACAGTAACTCTCTGTATGGCTTTATTATACAACTGGAATGCTCCTTTATCATCTTCTAGAATCTTCTTCCAAGTAGTGCTCACTTTAGACATACTGAAAAAGTAAATGGCCATAAAGGAAACAATTAAATCATCACAAAGAACTAAAATGAACGGAGTAGGAAAACAAACCACGCAAAACACTTTGCAGTGTTTTTCAAACCTGATTATATGTTGGAATTGCCTGGAACACTTAAGATTTAAGAATGCAACAGTCCAGGTACATTATGTCTAATCTGTCTAAAATTGGGCTCAGGGTACTACTTTTTACTTTATTTTTCCACTATATCTGCGAACAAAATAAATAGCCACCACTTTATAATATTTATATATATATATATATACATATATATATAAAACACCATTTTAGCTATTCAGTAAAAGTTATACACAAAATTTCAAAGTACTCTAGGATATACTGCTAATTAGTGGAAATTAATTTTAAAAACGTTACTATGTTAACAAAGTAGAAACTGGCATTGATTATCTGTCAAGAATACTTATATTATTAAAAATCACTACTTGTATCTGGTTTGCTTTAGCTATATTTCATAAAGACCAGGGGAAACCCACACTTGCAGAGTGCCTCTAGATAATTTCTCAAAAAACCAAAAAATGAATCCAGTTGAGTTGAATCCAATCAAACCCTACAGTCTACATATTCATCTTAATCAATTTTCAAAGTTATCTTATCTGAACTGATTTTCCTTGGTAGAATGACAAAGGGCAATTAGTGTAAGTTTTCTAAGAAATAGTCATAATCAAATCCCTATTTGCAGGCTTTCCTGTTTCACCATTGTCAAACTTAGGATAGCCCTACATCAAAAATGGCGTAAAAGGAACAGAAACTATTTCTTATTTTCAGGTGGGACAAAAATCATAATGCCCACTGGACCTCTGAACTAGGCTATTTTATGTTTAGGCCCCAAAGATGTAATTTACATACAAGAAATTTTAGAACTAAAAGGCACAAGGACTTCAATTTAAAAGAAATACAGTTTTCTAACAGCATGAATATAAAATTTGAAATGACTAGACTGAGTGCATACTTTCACACATAGGTAGTGAAATACCAGCAATGAAGGAAACCATTGCCTTGATGAAACATTCTAAAGATACCCTAGTACAGGATGAGTATCCCTAATCCAAAAACCTGAAACTTTTTGAATAATGTCATGATGCTCAAAGGAAATGAACATTGGAGCAGTTTGGATTAGGGATGTTCAATAAAGAAAATATTCCCAAATTTGAAAAAATGCTGGCATGTATATTCAAAGCAGTAATACTTACTTGATTAAGTCCATATCACTGAGCTGTGTTAAAATATTTGCTAGAAGATGTTTAAGTCCTCTTCGAAAGAGTTCACAGAGAATATCTACATACTCTAGGCCCATTTTCCTGCCAATTATATTCTGTAGTCTATAATTTCCACTGGCTATAGTTGTCTTTAGTATCTCCCAATCTTTTTTTGGATTTCTTTTCGCATTCTTTTTTAATGTTGAACAAACGACTTTTTGAAAATGGAGAATTGGCAGCAAGTTTTTGTTGGGATACTGGTCTGGGCTTTGTATCTGTAACAGGCAGGACTGTGAACTGTCACTGAAATTTTCCTCCAGGGGAAGGCTACCTTCTTCATGTTCATTGAGACCACTTTGTTGACAAAATGAAGAATACCCACTGTCTTCATAAAGTCTACTGGTCTCTAGTTCCTCTGTTTCATGTGTACTATTAAGTGTTTGTTGTACATGTTGATTTTCCTTGTTATGCAAGGGCTTGCTTTCAGTATCAAGTTCTACAATCCCAGGCCTCACAATTGGTGACCCAAGACATGATAACCTTTCATAGTCTTTAAAGCAGTCCTCACAAGAACCTTCCAAATATGCAGGAATGTAGGAACCTAGTCTTCCAACGTCTTCAGATTTTACCAGTTTAAGTCCAGAATGAACATGGTGGTCATGGTTAAAATCACACTTCATTTTAACAGAAAGAGTGGAACTTTCTTCTTCTTTACAACCTACGAAAAGAACATTTACTTCTTAATGGTAACATTTTCACACATCCCTACTTCTTAAATTAAGATATACAAAGATTACTTTATATTCATTCAGTGTTATGTTTTGCCTATATCCATTGGATATTATCCAAGTTTAACTGCTGATATAATAACACTTGCAAATATTATTTATATCTTTTAAGATGTTAACATTCCAATCAATCAGATTTAGGAGAATGATAGGGCAGCAGGTATAAATTACTGTCCAATTGCTTTAAATAACTTAAGATAATGTAATAGTAATAGCTATTTATGATAAGTAGCATAAATGAAAAAAATAAGTCTTGATACTATTAAAGAACCATGCAATTAGTTCTGGATATTATCCATTAGAATTCAAAATTACTAATTCAAATTTAAACTCCAAAAAAGCCAAGGACTTGTTCAAGGTTGTTTAGCACCCTAGACTTCTTCTTCAGGGCCTTAGAGATCAGTTAAGGCATACTGGAACAGGTAGCATTGTAGGACAGCTTTGAAGAATGGTTTCCTCAATGTCTATATAACTGACATTTTGGACCAAATAATTCTTTGTTCTTAGGGGTTATCCTGTGTATAGTAGTATGTTTAGCAGCCTTTACCCATTAACACAAGTAGCAGCTATTATTCCCAAGATTCAACAGCAAACAAATGTCTCCAGTTACCAGTTATTGCCAAATATTGGTAAGGAGGAAAAGCCAGTGACAACATTTCCTCTGCTAGTTGAAAACCACAGCTTATAAGAGAGGCTGGGAGGGGCACTCACTAAAGGATAACTTGAGCAAAGGCATAATACTTGGAAGAAATACAGTAGACGGCTTAGCATTGCTGAAGGCAGAGTATATGAATAGAGGGGACAATGGGGATATGAACTAAAAAAGCTGGAGTCTTGGTTGCCAGGTTAACAAGTGCTCCAGCTACCATTCCTCACCACACAAGCCAGTTATATATAGGTAACAATTTATCCTATCAGTAAAGGTATGTATCAGTCACTATGTTTAGTATGTACTAAGTACTGGTCATCACTCTGTTAATTTAATCATTTGTACTCTGTACTCACAGCAAAACCTTTCAAGTACAAAAGGATACCTTCAAAGAAAGTAACCTTGTAGATAGAAACAGCTTTTAAAATCCCAATGTCGAACACAGTAAAAGACAAATAATGTGTGCTTCAGTATCACGCTAAACCTCAAAATTAGGTTTAAACTAAGAGTTCAGGGGCACAACAAAATTAAAGAATATACAAATTTTAACCCTGCAATTAGCCCTAAACCTTTAACCCAGGGGTCTTCAAACTTTTTAAACAGGGGGCCAGTTCACTGTCCCTCAGACAGTTGGAGGGCCGACTGCAGGCCCCAGGAAGAGTCGGCTGCTAAGCAGGACAGGCAGTGGAAGCAAAAACACCCAGCGGGCCAGATAAATGTTCTAGGTGGGCTGCATGTGGCCCACGGGCCGTTGTTTGAGTACACCTGCTTTAACCATTTATTCTGAGTGGTTTCCCTTCACTGAGAGGGAAAAATACCAAGAGAGACTGTTTCTATTTTAGTTGCCTCAACTAAAACAATCAGGTTTGAGTTAAATATGCCCACAATTTAAGAGGATAAAAAAGCAGAAGCTCCCTATGAAGGCATACCTTGCCCTCTGTTTAGCTACCTAAACAAAGAGGACTGACAGTACTTTAAGAGCTCCAAGGCATTCTCTGGCCCCTCTGTCTTTAGAGCCCTATTTCTGGAGTGTCCAATAGAACCTTTTATTCAACACTATTCTTTGAATATACAGTTCTTTAAAATTAGCCCTAGTAATGAATAAAATACCTTATATTTGTTTAGAAGCTTGCAACTTTCAATGCTTCCTAACACTGGTCCTCACCTTTTTGTGGTATGATGGGGAGTTGTTTTTAAAAGTGAGTACGATGAAGATCAGTTAAGTTGCCCAAGACAAGTAGTTAAATGACACAGGTTTCTTGCCTATCAAGTCAGTGATCTTCTTATTATCTCACATGGGAATGAGGTACTTTGGAAAAACAGACCTGGCAAATTAAAACAATGTATACCATATGTCGTTTAACACTTATATTTACTTATAAAAAGCTAGAACTCATGGTGCAAGACCTCCTTAAGGTACTAAAGAAAAACACTTGTACATTTCTTTTCTCATTCAAGTGTGCCCTCTTAATATCCCATCTCAGGGGCTTTGTACATTATGCTTTTCTCTGCCTGGAATAGCTTTTCTGCTTTGTTTGCATATTTAGCTTCTGATTTATTATTCATGTATACCTTCATATTTGTTTGTGAGGGCACTTATCAAACCTCATCAAACCATGTTTCAAAGCACTACCAATTTTACATTTAGAAGATTACTATAATAGAATATTACTCATTAAATTAGGAAACTTAAAATGAACAAAAGAACTATTACATTCTTCTTCTGCCAACATGTATTTTCACATGAAAAGATTTAGTATTAAAAAAATTAATAAACTTAGATTTACAGAAAAGTTGCAAGGATAGTACAGAATTCCTGTACATCAAGCACCCAATACCCAACTCTTCCATTATGAACTTATGAACTTGGATCTATGATAAACTGAATAAACCAATACTGAAGCCACTTTATCTGGATTTCCTTTGTTTTTACCTAATATCTTTTTTTTGTTCCAGGATCCTATCCAGGATTCCATATTACATTTAATCCTCCTATCTCCTTAGGCTCCTTTTAGCTATAATAACTTCTATGACTTTACTGATGACGACCTTGGCAATTCTAAAGAGTACTAATCAGATTGAAGCCTGTCCTTCAATTGGGAATGGTCTGATGTTTTTCTTAGTCTGGGGCTGAGTTTTTAGCGAAAAGACCATAGAAGTAAAGTGCTATCACTGGGCCTTGTGGCTCACACCTATAATCCTAGCACTCTGGGAGGCCAGAGTGGGTGGATAGCTTGAGCTCATGAGCTCGAGACCAGCCTGCGCATAAAGCAAGACCTTCTTGTCTCCACTGAAAGTAGAAAAGACTGAGGCAAGAGGATCGAGTGAGCTCAAGAGTTGGAGGCTGCTGTGAGCTATAACCCTGGCAGTCTACCCAGGGCAAGAGCTTGAGACTCTGTCTCAAGAAAAAAAAAAAAAAAAGAAAGGAAAGAAAGAAAGAAAAGAAAAATGCAATTATTACTACATCAAGAGTACATGCTATCAATATAATTTATCATTGATGTTAGCCTTGATCACTTGCCTGAAGCTACAGCTGTCAGGTTTTTCCACGGTAAACCTACTACTTTGTTTTCCTTTTCTGTATCATTCTCTTTGGAAGAAAGTGACTATGCACAGCTCACACTTAAAGGGAGTCATGTTCCACTTCTTTGAGGGGGAGTAAATTTATATACCATTTTGAATTCTTTTGCATGGAAGATTTCTCTATGCCTTCCCATTTATTTATACAATAATTTATATGTACATATCAGTATATACCCACAGACTTTGGGTTGTAATCTGAAACTACTTATGTTGGTGCCCAAACTATTTCTCACTATCGTGAGCTATTTTAGTTGGGTTCAGTGTCCACTTGACCTTTTTGCATCATTTTGTTTTTTGAGTATTCCTTACTTTCTGGAAATATATAAGATGCTCCAGGATCACCTTGTAGTTTCCTTGTTATGGTCCTAGAATCAGTCATTTCTCCAAGGAATCCTGGTGTTTTTATTTGGTTGGTTGGTTGTTTTTGAGAAAAAAGTACGAGGAACCAAAATATGGATCCTAGTTGTAGATTTAAGTTTAAAACATGAAATGAATGTATTTTTCATCTCTGTAACAATACCACAGAACACTGGCTCAGCACCCGTAGCACAGTGGTTATGGAGCCAGTCATATACCCTGAAGTTGGCAGGTTCAAACCTGGCCTGGGCCAGCTAAACAACAATGGCAACTGCAACAAAATAATAACCCAGCATTGTGGCAGGCGCCTGTAGACCCAGCTACTTGGGAGGCTGAGGCAAGAGAATTGTTTAAGCCCAAGAGTTGGAGATTGCTGTGAGCTGTGATGTCATAGCACTCTACTGAGGGTGACAGCCAAAAAAACCCAGAATAAACTGAATAATAACCACGTTTTTACATAGCTAAACCAACTATTTACAGCTAAAAAGATGGGTTAAAACCATCTTTTAACAAGTTCAGTGCCTTCCAATGCCCAAGCCAAATTTGAGAAATAGATGTAGTATTTGTATAACTGATCTGATATTACTCAGGAAAATATCACATGGTTCTAGAACCTCTTGAGTTAAGCAGAGAAGGTTAAAAGTCTAGTTTGTGCCGGGCGTGGTAGCTCATGTCTATAATCCCAGTACTTTGGGTGACCTAAGGTGGGTGGATTGCTTGAGCAAGAGACAGAAATCCTGTCTCTACTAAAAAATAGAAAAACTAGCTGGGCATAATGGCAGGTACCTGCTGTCCCAGCTACTCAGGAGGCTGAGACAAGAGGATGGCTCAAGCCAAGAGTTTGAAGTTGCTGTGAGCTATAACAGAGTAAAACTGTCTCAAAAAAAAAAAAAAAAAAGTTTAGTTTGCCACTTCATTCATTTTTCTAATGTCCACTTAGTGACAGGGTAAAGGAAGAGGAAGATATTAGGCAGAGATGATCTTTTAGAGAAGATGGCATTCTGAGATCTGAAAGCCTTGTAGAAATCCTGTGAAGAGTCCCAGGCAAACACAGGAAGTGAGGGTAAGTGTAGTGTGAGATCTGAAAGCCTTATGGAAATCCTGTGAAGAGTTCCAAACACAGGAAGTGAGGGCAAGTGTAGTTAAGTGTAGTTAGTGTGTTCAAAGAAAAGAGCCATAGGGCTGCAGCTTTGTGCACTAGAGAGATGATTTTTAAAAAAGGTTGTAAAGATAGAACAACTATAGATTTGTAGGACTGGGTGGGCCTTTGAGGGATTGTAATTGGAGAAAAGATATTTGGTTTACATTTTTAAAAGATCACTGGTAGCTATGGATTGAAAGAAGCAGGGTGACTAGTTAGAAGTGTTTCTCACAAGGATCCAGAGAGTGGAATACCAGGGACCAGCATGATTAAAGTGCAAATGACGATAACTGGACAGATTCAGTGTTTATTATTTAGAAGGGTAAAGCTAATAGAGCTTGCAAATATACTAGATGTGGACATCAAGGAAAGGAAATTAAAAAAAAAAAAGTACTCCATGGTTTAAGGCTTACGTATCTAAGGTAGAAAGTGCCTTTAACTGAGCTGAGGAGGTGAACTCTTAAAGACAGTTTCCTCATCCATAAAATGAGGGTAAGAATATAAAACTGGACTAAATGAATGGCAGAGTCCTTTTCACATGGATGTCATCAACAGAATCTACTTTTAATCACATAAGCTAAACCCTTTCATTTTCCTTACATTCCAAGTCATTACATTTAAAAATACATACACCCCACACAGAAGTATACTATTCAGACTATATACTTTTCCATTAGAATGTATAGGTTTAAGAATCAGATTCAAGTTCAAATGAAAATCCTTGCTCAGCTCTTTGACTAATTTTGTGAACTTGGAACATTCTATACTATTTTTTATTTTCTCTAAAGTCAGGATACTGATAAAGACTCAAATACAGTACTTTTTTAAAGACTCTAATTTACCAATTCGCAGCCAATCATGGAGAAGTGGTATTATACTAAACTGTACAAAGTCTGACCATATATTTAACTTTTCAAGTCAGACTCAATATCATAATTAAGGCTACCATGCCTAAAAATCTTTGTAAGTCTTCTAGTGTTAATGAAATAATTACGTTTCAGTCTCTACTATCTCTAGATAACCACCATGTGCACGTTAGGCCACAGCCATTCTTTTACTTAAGAACCTGAGAGAGGCCCAAGGCTTGATACTATAAAGTATTAATCAGCCATAATTCTTAAGAGAAAACTTTAGGAAAGCCTGCTTTCAAAAATATTAGGATGCAATATTTTTCAAAATTTCATTTCCTTAAAAGCTTGTAAAAAATCTCAAGAAGCAGCAGATACCTTCTGAGGACAACTGGAGTTAACTATCAAAAAACTCCCACAATAAGCCATCAAGTTTCAAAATTTCAAAAGATATTTATGATCTAGGATCCTTTAGAAATACGTTTGACCTGTTAAAATTAAGTATTATGTTTTTCTCCAGACTCTAAATTCCTTTCCCAATGACAAAGACATTACCAAATTACAATGTCAAAATTGCTAATTATTTTCATTTCTGATCATTTTTTGAGGTAAAAAAATGCATTTGGATTGTTTAGAAGAGGCAGCAACAAAGAGGCTAAAAGTAGGGGCTTGAGTGCCTTCCATTCCTTACAAACTTTGAAATAAAGACAAGTACTGGGGGGGAATTAACCAATTCCTCAATTCTCACAAATTCAACTGAATATTATCAACAAATTCAAGATTTTGTAGTAAAAAGTGCTTTTTGTGAACTCTCCCCTTGAGACTCTAGGCCTCGAGTTACAAGGCAAAAGGGGAAAAAAAGGAAAAAAACTTACGTTTTTGTTTGGCTATCCAAGATGATTTTTGTCCCATGCGCGGAATGGGGGGCTGTCCCTGCATTTGGCGGGAGTTGGGGCGACCCTGGAGCCCCCGAGGGGTCGCTGGGACTGCCCCCGAGGGCGCGGGACGGGCGGAGGAGGCGGGAGATAACCGTGAGCTACATCTCCCGCGCCCGCCAGCAGGTCTGAAGCAGCGAAAAATCGGAAAAATTGACTTTGGATCTTAAGGTCCGGGACAGATAAGGACACGGGGCACAGGGAGTGAGGGTGAAGCACCCGATCAGACCCTGGAGGTGCCGGGTCGCAGCCCTGTCACAACCAGGAGCCCGAAGGTGGGGGAGGGGGCATTTGGCGCCTATTCAAGCGGGTGGGGATAGGTAAGTATTCCGGGAAGGAGAAACCGCGCTTGCTCCAGTTTGCCACGACTTGCACCTCTCCTGGAGTTGGGAGTCGGAGGCAGCATGGTCAGGGAGAAACCGCGACCCGCCATCCCACCCCAGCACATTTGGCTTCCCCTTCCCGACCCCTGAGTCTTCCTTCTCCAGGACCCAGGAACCTCCGCCTGCCTGAGGCCCAGCGTGTGGCTGCCCCAGGTTTGGGAGGGTGGCGCGTCAGGGACGGCAGGGTGCGCCCCTCACCGTGCACCCCGCCTGAAATGCGAACCCCCCTCGTTCCCTCTCCCTTCACTCACTGTCCAGGGGGCGAGGGCGCCCGGCTGCTGTCACGGTGCTGGAGCTGCAGCTGCAGGAGCAGGAGGATGGCCGTGGGGAGCAGCTGCAGCGGCGCCGGCTCATACCCGGGGACTTGAGGCCCGCCTCAGGTGAAGGAACTGCTCTAGCAGCAGAGAAGTGAGCCGCTTGCTTCATAGAGCTGTAGCTCTTAAAAGGCGCCAGCTGGTACTTTTAAAATCTTTGAATTTGGTGCCCAAATCCGAGTGGCCCAATGGGACGCGTCGCCCTCAAGCGCGCACCACTAGGAAAGCCGTAGGCGGGGCTGCTCTCACCCATACCCAATTGGAAGCGGCCGAGGAGAAGCTGAGCCGCAAAGTCCAACCCCCTCCCATCTCACCGGCTCCGCACGTCCGGAAAGATGCTGAGCCCGGGGGCGGAGCCTCCGAGCGCGGGGAGGTGGCGGCAGGACCGCACGTGGACGAAGTCCACTACGCATGCGTGCGCCCATCTAGCGGCCCTCGCCAACTTGGGAAGTGACCTCCTGCAAGTCCTAATTTGAGCCAGAAGGCAGGTGCGGCTTCTATCTGAAGACCTCCGATGGATGCAAATGGTAGCTGACTTTCCTCAGTCATCTCACAAGTTGGAGTTAGGTGAGCGGCAACCCTGGTCGTCCTGGAATCCAGACTTTCCGGAAGACGAACCCTCCCCTCAGTCCTGCTTAGCCCGCCTCTCTAGGATTTACGCGCGCACTCTCTTCTCCCTCCTAATAGCGCCCCTCCCTTATCCTCTGCCTCTGCGCAGGCGCCTTTGGAGGGCGGTGGCTGCAGAGTTGGCGGGTCGGCGCTTGCGCGGTGGGGGGGGGGGTGTCCCCGGGGCTTTCCCTGGGGAGGTGCGGAGGAATGGGGGTCCCCGGACTCTGTCCTCCTCCCAGTGCGTGCAAGCGCACGGGGCGTGACCCTTGCTGCAGGGTTCTCACAGGGCCTTTCGGCAGGGCTCAAAGTAAGACACTTTTTCCTTGTAAGCACATTTATTTCTATTTTTTAACCACAGTTCTGCAGATGCTGTTGTATTGTACGGAAGTTAAGTTTACTGAATTTGAATCTACGCTTCCCCGGGATGTTATTTCTTCAGGGGCCAAGCACAAGAGCCACTAATCCTGCTTCCGAGAAAGAATAAATAAAAATCTCCAGTCTTCTTGGGTTACAGGCCCCTAGCCAGTTGAATATTTTTTAGTGATGGCTGGAATGGCTTTAAGAATTAAAATTATACCGTGTCATTAGTGATGCAGAACTTTAAACTATTCAAATATACACAGAGAAGCGGTGACAGGGCATTCCTTGAACTCAGCCCTTGGCTACAGCACAGTAATGCAGCAGGATGTAAGATCCCCAAAGCACAAAATCGTCATCTTTGGCTGTTTCCACTTTTGCTCTTCAGCAGCCTCTGATAGTAATAGTTGGCTTATATTAATAGTTGAGTGTTCGAAAGTTAGTGACGAGTCCTGTGTGAGGCAGGGTCAGGATTTGAGATTAGTCATAACAGTGCTGGGTGGATCCTGACTTTACTTAAAATTTTGATAATCATTTGGATTTTCTCAATTAAATTTCATTTTAAAAAATGTTACAATATTGTCAACTTAGTGAAATTTTTGACATCCTTCTAAATTTTGCATCTGAGGCATGTCTCACTTGCCTTAAGCCTGTGGGGCCTGCCGTTTGTGCTGTATTCAGAAGTTTATAGATGGGAAGAAATTGGCGATTGATTTCTGTATATGAAAAAGGATGTAACCATGGGGGGTGTAGAGAATAGAGGTTAGGGGTGTAGGGTAAGGCTTTTGGATGGTTGGGAAGGTTTCTGAGCCTTTGAGTCAAGATGTGGATGTTAAACTGCCTATGCAAAGAGCTGCAGAATAAACCCAGGAGAGACTGGAATATCTCACTAGGGCTTCTTGAAATTGGGAGAGTAGGAAATGAGATGGACGAAGTAGACAGAAGCCAGATCCTTTAGGACCTCATAGGTTTCCATGTAGTTTAGACTCTTTTCTGATTGCAACCAGTAGCTGTTGGAGGGATTTTAGCAAGCAGGTTTTTTGTTGAGTATGTATTAAAACTATAATAGCCTCTTTTTATGTACTATAAAAAGAACATAAATGTTAGTCTTTAATCCTCATAATAAGCTGAGCATTATTTGATTTTGTCGTGATTGTGCTTAGACATGTAAGTTAATTCTCACCCTGTAGTTCTTAGAACCACAGCAGAGATTCTCATCCCTTTTTGCAGGATTTTTAAAAAATCCATGTTCTGTGGTATCCTGGGGAATAATGTTGTTGGGATCCTGGTTGTTAATAGTACATTTTCACATTACTTTCTACTTTGACTTCATTGCAGTCTAAAACTCCTGATCTCAGGCCAGGCCTGTAATCCGAGCACTCTGGGAGGCAGAGGCTGGTGGATCACTTGAGCTGACAATTTGGAGACCAGCTTGAGCAAGAGCGAGACCCTGTCTCTAAAAATAGCTGGGTGTTGTGTAGGCCTGTAGTCCCAGCTATTTGGGAGGCTGAGACAAAAAGATTGATTGAGCCCAAGAGTTTGAAGTTGCTGTGAACTACGACGCTATGGCACTCTACCAAGTTAGACAAAGTGAGACTGTCTCAAAAAAACAGAAAACAGCTGAGCTCATACAAACCCAGCTCAGCCTCCCAAAGTGCTGGGATTTCAGACATGAGCTACTGTGTCGGCCTGACCTTAGAAATCTTTTTTTGCCTCTTTTATTTTCAGATGTGGAAAGAAATAGAAAATTTAAGGGAAGTAAAGGTTCCATTTAAAATAGTTGAGCACCTGGAATATAATCTTTTAGCCACAGTTTAAAAGTGTCCTACAGCCTATTTTTTTTCTCCCCCCAAAAGGCTGATACATGTATATTACTGGAAAAATCAAAATTAGTAATATAAAGAGTCAGACACATTTTGTTGCAGACTGGAATAATTTTTCAGTATTTTTTTTTTCAGCTTATTGGGTTACTTAATCATTGACTTTAAATGATATTTGAGCTTTAATTGATTTATAATTAAAATTTATAATTGACAATGGTTCAGTAGGTTCATGGGCACCTGTTAATTTTATCTTTAGTGAAAAACTTAGAAAGGGGCATTCTGTATTTTACTTGCTGCCAGTAACTAGATATCTCTTTCTTCCTGCCTATCAGCACTGTTGGCAAGATGAAGTACAGAGAGAATTGCCCTTAGTCTTTTGTCAAATTCTTATTGCTGACCTACTATGTGCAAAATATTGTAAGGTACATGGCATTAGTTCTCCATCTTCCTAATGCCGGAACCCTTATTTACAGAATGAACTTCAACATTCAAGGCTTCATAATCTCAGTCTAATTTCTAGTTGTCATCTATGAGAAGAGGTAAGGGAAAACTAATAGTACCTTATAATATTTAATAACCTGTGAATATGTACCATTCCTAACAACCCTAGAAACTGAAAGACCCGAGAGGATAGAACAGTGGGAGAAACTGAATATGACCGATCAGTCCTGTTATATTTATTGTATTCTTGAGTTGTATAGGTCGCTGAATGCTGTATTCATTAACATCTTATGAAGGTATTATAGAATGCCTTTCATAAATTATGATTTGATAACCACCTTAGGTACTCTATTTCAGTTTTTAAAGTATAAGAGTTCTTTTTTCTCTCTTAATAGCTAACTCCATTATCAATTAAAATTTTTTTATATTAAAACCTTACTGTAATAGTAGGGTTTCTCCTGACTCAACCCTGACTAATACAGTATTTAATGTCATATATCTATTTTATATTTTAAGTTTTTCATAATAAAGTAAAATTTTTGATTACAAATTAAATATTTACATAACACAGGGCAAATGAGTGTCTTCCCCTTTGCCTACTTGTAAAGATCAGCCTAAGACTGACAGTCACAGTCATGATTACAGATAGTCTCCAATTTACAGTGATTTTCTGATTTTATTATGGATTTAGTGGTACATAGTTCTCCCTCAGCTCAGGGAGCTCTCCATAACTTTTAATTGTATATCCTTTTCATATCATCAGAAAGCTGAAAATCTGTTAGTCAAAATAAGGGACTGTGTGCTGTATAGCTAGCATTAAATGAATTTGACTTAAGATACTTTCGGCTTACTATGGGTTTATTATTGGGAAGTAGCCCCATTGTAAATTAAGGGACATCATCTGTATATTGTATGTTTTTTATTAATACATTGAGAAGTATTTGTTAATTATCTATGTCTTAAGAATATGCATATTACTTCCAACTGTTAATTCATGTTTTTCAAGAGAACACTGGTAAGTACATACGCTCTCATTTGCTGTAACAGAATTTTTCTGAGCTATAAAAGTTTTTAATAACAAACTGACTTATACTTTTTGGGAAATAATTTCTACTAAAGATTCATAATCAGCATAGTCCTTCAGGGATTGTACAAGTTCATCCAGTAGATAATCTCCTTGCATAAAAGTTTCAAGATCATGCAGTGACTTGTTTATTCTGTGATCCGTGACCCGATTCTGTGGAAAATTATATGTTCTTATTTTTTCTGATCTTCCTTTAGTTCCAATCTATATGTATAAAACAAGATGTGAGATGCAGTTAGGTTTAGATTCAGAGCAACTTAAACCTATAAATTTAACTTGAGATTAAATTCTTCATTTGTAGTATAAACCAAAATTTAAGAAACAAGTTTTAAACGTTTTAAATCCCTAAATGACATGAGAACACGATATAGAAGAACACAGGCTTTAAAATCAGACAGATTAATATTATTTGAATCCTACCTCTACCACTTCAGTGCTCTATGACTTTAGACTGTTCATTTCAACATTAAACTTTAGTTTTCCCATCTGCAAGGTACAAAAATATCACTGCACAGTGGTGATATATGTTCTTTGCATCAATGAAGTCATCTTCCTTGGTGGGAAGGTAAATTTCCCATACTGAGGAATTCTTTTCTCTCTCTCTCTGGGACTAAGTCTGGCTCTCTTGCCTGGACTACAGTGCAGTGAAGTCATAGCTCACTGCACCCTCTAGTTCCCATGCTAAAGTGTTCCTCCTGCCTCAGTCTCCCAAGTACCAGGGACTATAGGCATGTGCCACCATGTTTTCTTTCTTTTCTTTCTTTTTTTTTTTTTTTGGAGAAACTATGTTGCTCAGGTTGGCCTTGAAC